GCAGCCGTCTTCAGGTGAAGAATGAGACACTGCCAAGATAGGAGCTTATATATAAGCTGGGTAGGAGGTGGAAGAGGAGCGCCTTAACAAAAGAATGTGCATATCAAGAGGAATTTAGCATATTCATGGGAAATGCGTAGGAGGTGGGCGGGGGGGTTTCAAAGTCATATTATGCCCATGCATTATGCAGGATCAGCAGCACCAAGGGAGGGTGCAGGGAGTAGCATTAACAAAGGAAAGGAATGTTAATAGTATGTAGCTGCAGTTACTAAACAACCACGTAGAAAACTAAAGTATAAACTACATAAAAAACTAAAGTATAAACTGCATAGCATCATCAGTATATTTACTATACTCTACAATAAGCTGAGTTACTAACAGCAAGTAATACATTACAATTCTACGTCGTAAAAATTATATAATATGCTTCCATCTAAACTTTATTCTCTTACATCACACAAGCATACACCGTACTATATACCAGTGGCGGCTCCTGCAAAATCTCTCAGGGGGGGCAAATGTCTGGATGATTGATAAGGATAAGGTCCACCCATGCAATGGATAAATTAACAGCTTAAGCATGTAAAGGCAACTTCACTTCTTTAATATTAATGAAAAATAAAGTGACTCTTACAATACATCTTGTTTGTTTCTATACTCACTATTAATACAATCCACTCAAGTTTATTTTATTAAAGATTCCACTAGGTGGCGACAAATTATATTGTTGGATGAAACATGCTTACGTATAATGACGTAAGCACGTTAGGGCGAGCCCTCCCAGAAGCCATAGAGAATGCATTGCAGCGCCCCCCGTTCGAAAAAAAACATCTTTGAATGTAAGTCTATGGGGCCACTCGGGGCGATTCTCAGCCGGAGTGAAATCGCCCAAAAAGAGGCGGTACTCCACAGAACGTGACATGACGCTGATTGGACTATATCCAGAGGCACAGTGACGGCTAGCGTGACTCTGTGGTTGAATGACATTGGTGGTGCGTCGCCCAATCGCCCTAATGAAGAAACCGCCCCTGCTATATACTGCCATAGATAAACCCAACATTAAATTATATACTGTATTGCAATAAACCACCTTATACATTTAATATAACACTATGTATTATTCTATCCACCCTAATGTGTATCACACTGCTATATGTCTACTATACAATTACGATACTATATGTTACTTTGTACATTGTATTAAGCATATAAATGTTATACTATTTGTTATTATACACTGTACCATTGACCGTCGTGTCAATGGGTGAGTCGTGGGGGGAAAATCAATTCCATACACCCAGCCATCTGATTCACCATGGAAGTCGAAAAAGATGGCAAGCTACCCTTTTTGGATGTCCTAATTAAAAGGAGACCTGATGGTTCAATGAGCCACTCTGTCTACAGGAAAGCCACCCATACGGATGCTTACCTAAAACCGGATTCCCACCACCATCCATCCCAGAAGAATTCCCTCATCAAGACTCTATACCATAGAGCCCAATGCATCTCCGACCAGGAACACATTGCCAGTGAACTCAAACACGTACGCCAAGCTCTTAAGGCTAATGGTTACTCCGACTACACAATCCGCAAAGCCATCACTCCAACCATCAAGAAGGATCCTGTTGAGGAGCCTTTCAAGACCATCACCTTACCCTACATTGCTGGGGTCACAAAAAAGATCTCCAAAATCCTGATTAAACACAAGATCCAGGTCCGATTCAACACAGTACATAAAATCCGTGATCTGGTCCCGTCTGTAAAAGATGTGGTTCCAGACATACAGTACCCTGGCGTCTACAAACTAAGTTGCCTCTGTGGTAGCAGTTACATTGGGGAAACCAAACGACATGTCTCGGACCGCATCCGTGAACATAAAGCAGACCTGAAACACGGTAGGACAAACACTTCAGCCATGGCAGATCACTGTTACAACTCAGTGGGCTCACATGGCATTGACTTCTCCAAGACAGAGGTTCTCTGCAAGCCATCTGGCTATCATGAGAGATTCGTTCATGAGGCGATCCACATATACAAACACAGAGACAATTTCAACCGAGAAGATGAATTCTGGCTTAGCAATCATTGGAAGGACGTAATAAACCATTTCGGATCTTAACTGATTGTGTTCACGTTTACGGTGACTTTCAGATCGCGTTCCACTCACTGTCATTGTATTCTCCGCAGGGAATGGATTCTTTGCTCCGCTGCAAGTTTTCCCCCCACGACTCACCCATTGACACGACGGTCAATGGTACAGTGTATAATAACAAATAGTATAACATTCATATGCTTAATACAATGTACAAAGTAACATATAGTATCGTAATTGTATAGTAAACATATATCAGTATAATACACATTAGGGTGGGTAGAATAATACATAGTGTTATATTAAAATGTATAAGGTTTATAGCAATACAGTATATAATTTAATGTTGGGTTTATCTATGGCAGTATATAGTACGGTGTATGCTCGTGTGATGTAAGAGAATAAAGTTTAGATGGAAGCATATTATATAATTTTTACGACGTAAAATTGTAATGTATTACTTGCATTTAGTAACTCAGCTTATTGTAGAGTATAGTAAATATACTGATGATGCTATGCAGTTTATACTTTAGTTTTTTATGTAGTTTACACTTTATATTCTTAGGTTTTTTCGGTTAAGTCACGTAAGTAAAACATAAAACAACAGCCTCCGAAACGTCGTGATTTTTATTTTTATTTTATTTTTATTTTGATGTTTTACTTACGTGACTTAACCGAAAAAACCTAAGAATATGAATCTTTGCAGTCACGAAAGCTTCAAATCTAGAATTAGTTTATACTTTAGTTTTCTACGTGGTTGTTTAGTAACTGTAGCTACATACTATTAACATTCCTTTCCTTTGTTAATGCTACTCCCTGCACCCTCCCTTGGTGCTGCTGATCCTGCATAATGCATGGGCATAATATGACTTTGAAACCCCCCCGCCCACCTCCTACGCATTTCCCATGAATATTCTAAATTCCTCTTGATATGCACATTCTTTTGTTAAGGCGCTCCTCTTCCACCTCCTACCCAGCTTATATATAAGCTCCTAGCTTGGCATTGTCTCATTCTTCACCTGAAGATGGCTGCTTGCGTTGTAGCCGAAACGTCGTGAGAATTATTTTATTTTATTATGTTTTATTTTTATTATTTTATTACTTCCCTTCTACGTGACTTTACCGAAAAAACCAAGAAGGTGGTTTCCCCCTTGTTAAAGAAACCAAGTCTCGACCAGGATGACCCATCTAGTTATCGTCCCATCACTAATCTCTCAAACCTCTCTAAACTCCTTGAACGACTAGCCCTCGCCCAGCTAAAACCGCACATCACTTCCTCCCCAAACTACTGCTGCTTCCAGTCAGCTTACCGTCAAAACTACTCCACAGAAACAGCACTCACTAGAGTGCTCGATAGTTCCGTACCTTACTGACCAGCAATCTTCAGTCAGGGTGGGCACGTCTACATTGCCTGAAACAAAAGCATTATGCGGGGTTCCCCAGGGCTCCATCCTAGGTCCCCTGCTCTTCACAGCCTACACTTCCCGGATCGGCCGGCTCATCGCAAGCTTCGGTGTTAAGCACTACTCATACGCGGATGACACTATTATATTCACAGCTATCTATTCTAGCAATGCATCTGGATTCGAGAGGCTCTCAGAATGTACCACCACCTTGCAACAGTCGTTCACTGCACACAACCTAGCCCTTAATCAGAAAAAGTCAGTGGCCATCATGTTAGGTACCAAGCAACGTCTCAACTCATCAGCACTCCCAACACAATCCAAATCTTTGATCACAACATCTGGTTCACCGATCACTTCAGCTACCTCGGTGTCATCCTAGATTCAACTTTATCCTTCGACCGTCAAACCAATCATATCATCAGTTCATGTAACTTTCACCTGAAGGCTTTCAGACACCTATGTCCTTTCATCTCCACTTAAATTGCCAAAACATTGGCATGTTGCATAGTTGGGTCTCGCCTCGACTATTGCAACTCCGTCCGAGTCCGGACCTCCACTGGCAACCTAAAAAAACTTCAAAGACTACAAAACAACCTAGCACGCATCGTCATTGGCCGCACTTATCCCCGTCTCGACTCACTTTCTTGTCTCCGTGCCCTTAACTGGCTACCCATTGCCAGTAGGGTCATATACACGATCGCCTGCCTCTGCCACCATGCCTTCACATCTGCCTGCCTGCCGTACCTTTCTCCATTATTGACGAATTGCAGCTCAGCACATGGCAGATGCCTGCGCAGCGCGACTCACGACCTCCTCTTGATACCAAGATCCAGGACGGTCATGTCTATGCGCCACTTCTCGGTGGCAGCCCCAACAGTCTGGAACATTATCCCTCTGCACATTCGCAGCATCACCTCAATCGTCTCCTTCAAGAGACACTTAAAAACTCACCTCTATAACCATGCTTTCGAGCGACTCTGAGCTTGGCTCCGCGCCTCTGAGTTGCGGCCGTTATGTCCATAAATTTGCTCGCGTTATAAATTGCATTATTATTATTAGAGGGAAAGCCTATGGGAACTTCAATCTGAAGACATTCGGATCGCTCACAGCACGTGTACTCACTTAGTAATGCAGGTGCTTTCATTGTGCACATGGGTGACAGCTCCAAAATTGTGGAATGATTTATCCAAAGCTCTGAGACTCGGATACCAATTGGTATTTTAAAATCTCATCTCAAAACTCATTGTTATTAACTGGCCTTTATAAATCGATTGTTTTCTAGTTTACATTGTCCGTCTTGTGACAGTCATTATCGTTTTATCATTCTATTGTTTTGTATTGTACAAAGCAATGGGACATTTGTTTTGTGACAAACGCTACCCGCCACAAATATGCTCGTCTGGCCGATGGCAAAGGGAATGCATCTGGGATTCGAGATGAAAATTGCAGCACTGTGATGCAGCACTGTGGTGCGGCGCTGTGGAGTGGCGTGTGGTGCATACACCATGAGGAGGATGAGCGGCAGGATGAGGCCCGGGTTGGCCGCGTAGCTGAACACGGTGCTGAACCAGGCTGGGAAGTCGGCCTCAATGGTCTCCTGGATGACCTCGTACATGCGCGTTTTTCCACTGGGGTCACAGGGCAACAGGTAGGGGTTTGGATTGGAAGGGGTTTGCAATGATTGATCCAAACTCATTCACGGTTTGTTATTTTCAGTAATGTACGTACAATGCACACGCAATCGCTGGCAGGGAATAAGCTCTCTACGTAGATGCAAGCACAAAATTAACAAAATGTAATGCCAATACTCTGCAGAATAGATTGTAGCAGCCCCTGTCATGTAAAGTACATAATTAAAGGTTATATCTTATGTGTGTCCATATACTAAAAAAAATTTAATCCATTTACTAAGAAATTATGTCTTCTTGGTTCTTTCGGTAAAGTCACGTAGAAGGGAAGTAATAAAATAATAAAAATAAAACATAATAAAATTATTCTCACGACGTTTCGGCCACAACGCAAGCAGCCGACAGAGTCTGAATGAAACAGCACACGAGCTTGGAGCATATATATAAGCTGGGCGCCTTGACAAATGGATTTGCATATCAAAAGGAATTTAGCATATTTATGGGAAATGCAGGAATGTGATTAGTACTACATATGCATGTGCATTATGCAGGATTAACAGCATCAAGGGGAGCTGCAGTTGCTGCTGCTGCAGTTGATGCTGCTGCAGTTGCTGCTGCTGCAGTTGCTGCTGCTGCAGTTGCTGCTGCTGCAGTTGCTGCTGCTGCAGTTGCTGCTGCTGCAGTTGCTGCTGCTGTTGCAGTTTCTGCCTTATCCATTTTAATATAACACTATGTATTATTCTACCCACCCTAATGTATATCACACTGCTATATATTTACTATACAATTACGACACCATACATTACTCTGCACACTGCACCATGCCAGTGAGTGGAACGCGGTCTGGCATGGTGCAGTGTGCAGAGTAATGTATGGTGTCGTAATTGTATAGTAAATATATATCAGTGTGATACACATTAGGGTGGGTAGAATAATACATAGTGTTATATTAAAATGGATAAGGCAGCAACTGCAACAGCAGCAGCAACTGCAGCAGCAGCAACTGCAGCAGCAGCAGCAACTGCAGCAGCAGCAGCAACTGCAGCAGCAGCAACTGCAGCAGCAGCAACTGCAGCAGCAGCAACTGCAGCAGCAGCAACTGCAGCAGCAGCAACTGCAGCAGCAGCAACTGCAGCTCCCTTTGATGCTGTTAATCCTGCATAATGCACATGCATATGTAGTACTAATCACATTCCTGCATTTCCCATAAATATGCTAAATTCTATTCTTAGGTGTTTTCGGTAAAGTCACGTAGGTAAAACATCAAAATTAATAAAAATAATAAAATAAAATAAAGATCACGACGTTTCGGAGGCAACACAAGTCTCCGTCATCAGGTGGGACAGTCATAGCCAGATCAGCTGCATCAAGTGAGGCAATGATTCAAGATGTAATCCCTTAAAAGCGAGTTGAGGGGGGAGGAGAGGGGGGGGGGCTCATCAGAATGTGGTAGCCAATGAATTGGCTATCACTTGATGCAGCTGATCTGGCTGTGACTGTCCCACCTGATGACGGAGACTTGTGTTGCCTCCGAAACGTCGTGATCTTTATTTTATTTTATTATTTTTATTAATTTTGATGTTTTACCTACGTGACTTTACTGAAAACACCTAAGAATATGATTCCTTGCAGTCACGAAAGCTTCAAGTCTAGAATTATGCTAAATTCCTCTTGATATGCAAATTCCTTTGTCAAGGCGCCCAGCGTATATATATGCTCCAAGCTCGTGTGCTGTTTCATTCAGACTCTGTCGCCTCGACGGACCTGGTTTTCACCTGAGGACGGCTGCTTGCGTTGTGGCCGAAACGTTGTGAGAATAATTGTATTATGTTTTATTTTTATTATTTTATTACTTTCCTTCTACGTGACTTTACCGAAAGAACCAAGAAGATGAATCCCTGTAGTCACGAAAGCTTTAAATCGAAAAAGAAATTATGTCTTGGCCAATCTGGCCCGGTGTCTCAATGGTAGAGCCAACAGCTCACAATCGAAAGGTTGCGACTACAAAGCCTGGTTGGGGATTGACTCATCCCATCAATGCTCTGGGGTTAATAAAATGAGTGCCACATTGTGAGGAAGTCAAAAGTGAGTGTCTTATCAAAAGACTCGTCTCCACCCATAGGAATGTGGATTTTTCCACCACTGTAAATAGGAGAATCAATGCTTCATTGGTAATTTTAGCAGGAAACCCCATTTTCAGGCCTGTATATGGGACCGGTAAAGAGCCTATGGTTCAACGATACCCTCAAATCCTCCCTGATGAAGCGCGGAAACATCGGCCATATCCATCGGGATGCAACCCATTTCGAGACCCAACGTCACAATGGCGAAGCGGATCGCCGCCAAAAAAGAAAGGAAAAGGATGCTAACCCGGCACTGCGGATGCCACTCTATCTGGGACCGCATGCCATCTCAAGAGCCACCTCCAAATCTGATGGATGTCATCCTCGAACCCCGAGGGACTGTCGACGAGGTAGAGAGCCACTTACCTGCCCCACCGTGGCCTCCCAGGAAATCACTTTGACTTTACCCTGAGTATTAATTTATGGACGTTAAGAAGATTGGTCCAGCCTTTGTGTAGCACTGTAACTTGAGCGCCGTGTCCTGTCGATGCTGGGGAACGGTTAAGTGGTTGGCCAGAACAAGTCGTGGGAGCATCGCCCACGCACCTAAAGGGACCGCAGTCGAATGAGGGCGGCAGGGACACGATGGTGTACGCTGTGGGCAGCAGGCTGAGGAAGAGGATGAAGAGGAGAATGGCCATGTAGAAGTTGTTGGAACGAGAGGCCTTGAAGACACGCTCATGCGGGACATTGCTGCTCATCACGGCCCAGCACTGCAGGTACATGGAGGCGAGAAGTCGCAGCACGTTGATGGCTGGGAGGCAGGGCGCATAGAAAGAGCCCATCCTGGGGTAGGGTGGGGTGGCAAGGCAGTGTTGGCGAGCAGGTGGATGTATGTTATGCGATCTCTCCTCAAGCAAATGTGGAATTATCATTTAATTTCAAACCAAAGCAGAATTCCAATAACCTATGAATCCCTATAATTCGAGGATTATTGGAAGTTTGCAACTGTTGTTATCGGTTGCGGCACATCGCAGGTGAAGAGAAAATGCTTCACAGCAATGCAAAACGTGATTCATATAATTGAGCAGCACTAATTTGGAGCTGCAGGAGCGGAGCTGCAGGGAGAGTAGATATAAGATGTGATTTTTAAATAATTTAGGTTAACATTGCCCAGACTAGCTGTGCTGTCACTATTTGTTTTGTGGAAAAGGATTTTTTTAGACTGATTACAACGTAAAAGAAAAATCCCTAATCATAGACCCATGTGGCAGATTTTGGCCCTTTAGGTCAGAGAAATAATCATGAACTTATAATTTACCATTATAAGTTCATGATTGTTTGAACAGCCCAGATGAACTCCCTCATCAAAACACTACACCATAGGGCCCGCTACATCTCCGACCAGCGCCACCTAGCCAGTGAACTGGAGCACGTACACCAAGCCCTCAAGATGAATGGATACTCAGACCGCACAATCCGCAAAGCTGTAGCCCCAGCCATGGGGAGACAAGCATCTGAGGACCCAATCAAAACCATCAGCTTGCCATACATAGCAGGTGTAACCAAAAAGATTTCCAAAATCTTAAACAAACACAAGATCCAGGTCCGATTCAATATAGTACACAAAATCCATGATTTGATCCCATCTGTGAAGGATGTCATTCCTGACATGCAATACCCTGGTGTCTACAAACTAAGTTGTGTCTGTGGCAGCAGTTACATTGGGGAAACGAAACGACATGTCTTGGACCATGTTCGCGAACACAAGGCAGATTTGAAACACGGCAGAACCAATACCTCTGCAGTGGCGCTGTTCATTGTTATAACGCAGTGGGCTCGCACGATATTGTTTTTTCCGGACCAAGGTACTCTGCAAACCTTCAGGCTACCATTAAAGATTTGTCCATGAAGCTATCCAGATATATAAACACAGACAATTTCAACCGAGAAGATGGGTAAAAGCTGAGCAATCATTGGAAGTACATTTATTAACCAAGCAAAGTCGTAACTTGATGTGGTGCTTCCATTCTTCTCTGCCGTTTGGCTATTATCTCCGACTCTCTGAATTGCATTACCCTGTTAGGTGCCTCTGCATTAACGGGCTGGGGTCTCACTAACATGGCCACCTCTGCTCCCTTTGCCTCGATGTACCGATGGTTCTGCCTGTGTGATGGGCTTTGTGTCTCACTGGCGCGACCACCATTGTGGTGGTTCTCTTGCGTGGACGCGCTTTGCCTCACAGTCGCGGTTGGCAGCGCTGCAGCTTTTGTTATACATAGACATGACATGAACTTACTAATCTCCCTGCCTAATCTCTCCCATCAACATAGTGCTAATCTCCCATTAACACTGCTGTTGTGCGCATATGTGGGGATGATACTCTGATGCGGCGACGGAAGCTCATCTCATGCTAATCTCTCTCCCTAATCTCTCTTTCCCTAATCTCCCCCATTAACACAACTGACGTGTTTACGTCCGGGGATGGAATTCCTTTCCAGCTCACACCCCGCTTGCTTGCCCATCGCCACACAAATAACTCTTGTTGTAACAGCTCTCTCACTGGTTCAGCAGTTTGGTTTTTCAGTTCCACTGCTGAACCAGCAGTGGAACTGAAGAACCAAAGTGTATTAATTTAGTAATTTGTCACATGCCGTGCTTCCCCAGTGGATTAACAGAATCCCGTGGCCAATTCCTCCCAAAATCCGCCACACAATATTCGTTTTTGTAGATTATAAGTCTAACCCCCGTGGTGTGTTGCATATTACAAGATCCACGAAATGAGCACCCATATCAATACAGATCAATGGATTTCTGCCAATGGCTACTGTACGACAATATAAATCAATAGTATAATATCTATACCTAAAGCTTTCGTGACCGCAGGAATACATATTCTATGGGTCTTTCGGTAAAGCCATGTAGATAAAACAATATATATCACGTTTCGATCGCAACACAAGCAATCGTTACCTGAAGACGTCACCTGAAGACGATTGCTTGTGTTGCGATCGTAACGTCGTGATATTATTTTTATATCTACGTGGCTTTACTGAAAGACCCACAGAATATGATATCTATAATGACTGCGCAGGTCTCCATAAACTTGCAATTCCACGTGCTCCTATTCCAGAAGGTTGACAACCACTTCAGGCCACTTGGCCTTCTAAGCATAAGCTAGACAAAACAGTACTGTTTCCACGAACAAAATACTGCATTAAGTTTTCAGATGAAAACTAAACTCGTGAACATTTAAAGCAGAATCCGCTCTTCAGGGTAGCGATATGAGAAATAAAAAAAGAACACCACAGGTGTGTATATAGACAAAGATCCCCCATAAAGTTTGAACAGACTGTTAGGGCAAGAGCACACAAATACAAGTACAAAGATTCCCCATATAGCCTAAACAGACTTTTGGGGCAAGTGCTCTTTGCAAGCACCTATAAAGGCCGGCACGGCACATGAAAGGGTGGGTGTCCAAACGCACACCCGGCCGCATTTATCTCTGCAATGGCGATGTTTACACACCACACCAGGTACTCATTTGAGGCTGAGTCGACCTAGGGGAGGCCCAGGACCGGGTTTCCGGGTTCGTAGCACGGCGCGCTAAGCGCTGCACCACCGCTCCCCACATCTTTGTGTTTATACATATATACATACACGTAAGCAACCCTGTTGCATAAATGCACAATATGTTGTCGGTGTCAACTAATTGCTGTTAAAATGTACATTTATGGGAAGCAGAATTGTTCAAGAATAAACGGCCATTATTGGATTCGACCAAACATCCCAATGTAGGGCCACAGAGCTTGGACAATTGTTGGTGCCAGCCCTGACTGCCTCCCCGCACGTGTGGTTTGCTGCACGTCTAAACCCAATGAAAACCCTGCAGTGCATTACACATTTGGGTATTAATTGATTCTTCATAATTTGTTATCGATACATTTCATATTGGGACCGAAAAGTTCCCCCATTATGACTCGTGTTTGTAAGACGACGTTTTCCATCCCCAGGAGTGCTTTAAGGCAGGGGTACTGTGTGATACTCACCAGATCATGCCCTGGTTGAAAATGAGTCCCAGCACATTCCCACTGATGTCGAACTCTGCATAGGAGGGCTATGTGTGAAAATTTAGTAAACACACACACAGACACAATGTTTTGATACTGAAGCTGAACGCCGTCTTCTCTGAGACCACGAGAATGACTCAAATGCAACATTTATACAATCGTGAGTGCAGTGTTGTATGTGTGCAAAGGACAGTGGTGCACAGCTGCAGATCAACGCGTTGGAGGCAACAGTTGGTGGATCAAGTAGATTCATCACCTGTCAATCGTTTGGCTTTCTCCAGGTAGTCGTTTTCCTGCCACATGTAAAACACTTTTTTTAAGATATAACCAAACGCCCACATGCAGGGCCCTCCCAAAATGAGTTTTCAGACTCAGTGCAGCTTACCTGCTAAATTAATAAATAAATAAAATTTGTGTTTGTTTCATTGTCACTTGGTGGTGGTAGTGGTGTAAAAGACACAGATCTCAAAGCCTCCCCCCCCCAATGCTGCATCTTGATACGTTTGTAGTGACTGTTCTTGGCATTGTGTGGTGCCGGGACTTGCGAAGTCATGGCCGGTAATGTTGTCATTGCAGGTACCAACACTAGCGGTGGTTGGGTGAACGCTGGTTAGCGCGAAGGCACCGCTCGCAGTGTGCGGTGCCGGCTCCCAGTGAGGGAGCGAGAGAGAGCGTCGGCCAGCCAGGGTTACTCTGGGGCATGACACTCTGGCTGACCTGTTATCACGTGACTGGACGATACTGGAGGGGGGCCACCGGTGGACGGGGGCCGAGGGGGGGTAAACGGGTCCCGGAGAGCTCTCGGGAACATTCGAGAAGGAGCTCGAGGAGCCTGGAAGGTGGGCGGGGCTGAGGGCGGAGCCAGCCCCAGCCCGGGGGCAAATCACGAGAGCTCCTTGAGGAGCTCGGGGTTCTTCAAGTGTTGGTGTTCGAAGATCCACGTCGGGGAGAAGAAGTCTCTAGCCACGCGGTCCGGGACCCAGCTTGTGGTCCAGACCGGGATAGCGAACTGTGTCTAGTTCTGCCGTAGCGTGGCTAGATGGGCATTCGAGACCCGAGCGTAGGTTATGTTATGTTGGTGCTGTTGTGTTGAATAGTGTTGCTCCCGAGTTAATGTCTGTGACTCAGTTGGACTCACTACATGTTAATTCTGGCGGTTTTTGCCCACACCTCACATTGACTTGGCAGGAGTGATTGTTACGCTTTTCTCTGACGTCTCTCTCCATCTGCATCTCTGATAATGTTAGAACCGCCATTTTCCCCATGATTACACGGAGGTTTTTTCAGCTAAGTCACTCCGAGGTGGATTCCTGACTCGTCTTTTTTCCCCAACGTCCAAAGCCCAATATAGATCAATCCCCAGCAGAAGGGGAAGTATGGTTGGGCCCAGCTGTGAGCATAATCACCCCCGCTTAGAGAACTGTTCAGCCTCCTTTGTGACGTTGCAAGCACTCGCATAGGGAAGAGGGGAAAGGGGAACGGGAGGGGGCTGCAGCATGACACGTTCCCATTGTGTGTGTACTATATTGAACTTCTTTAACACCGTACGTAGACAACTGTGCTAATCAGAGGAAATGACCAACATGCAGAGAGCGTTTGCAATGGATATTAGAATTCTCGCATATCAGGGAAATTTAGTTCTGCCATCTTTTCCACAGAAAAACCCCGGACATATTTCTTAGTGACCCGAGGCTATAAAACTCTGGCAGGCTACCCTGGTTAATACTGCGAGTGTATTAGCCATGGAATTCGTGCCATCTGTTGTACAGTGGATGTTAAAGATTCTGTGAATTGTATGTATGTACGTTCAACTTATTTTGCACCGTACGCAGCCCACCATGCGAATTCGAGGTGCAGGCGAAGGACAACAAACTAAACACAAAAAGCAGTTCTAAAGAAATTACTTTTCAATTTAGATTTAAAAATGCACAGCTCCAGTGGCTTCCTAATATCGGAGAGCGTTCCGACGGCCGCAGAAGCGTGGATGAAAGTACGCACTACGGTAACCGTCTTTATTCAATGGCCAGCCAAAAGCCGCTGTGAGGATGACCGGAGTTCGCTTGATGATTTATGCTCCTTGACGAGATCAGCAAGGTATTGGTCGAATCTTGCAGTACCCATTACGACATGTGCCAGAGAATTTTGTACACGCTGCAGCTTGGTGATGTTTTTTGTTAGACGTACTGTAGAGTAGACTAGCGATGACGGTGCGCTAAGCCGGCAGTCAGAGCTATCCCCTGTTCACGTTAGGGTGCGATAGGGATGTGCTCTAGCCGCAATGTTATCGACGAGTCGCGTGTGGTTGTACTGCATCGCTTCACACATTACCCAGCACCATGAAATGACCAACATTCATATTTGTGTGTGGGGTAACAAATTGGGGGTGCAAAGCCTTTTAATGTGGATGTGCAGTTAGCACCTTGCCTCAATTCTAAGTACATATGTTGGCACTGTATGCTGAGGACATGCAGTTAGCTTATGACGTACTGAAGACGTTATGCAGAGGATACAGAAGCCTTCTTGGTTTACTTGGCGAACTTTGGGATGTAGTGTGGTGCAGGATATAATTCAGATTAGGGTTGCTACCTTTTCCACAAACCAAACCCAGACATTTATCACTCAGCGTAGGTCTATCAATACTTAGCAGTAAACCGTGATAAAAAAAAAGCATAACACAGGTGTTAAGTATCGGTACAAATCAATTCCTGCATCCGAACACAGAGGCCAATTTTCAGACTGTCCAATTCACACCCGGACAGTTGTCAACTCCCCAGTGCGGGTTTTCTTGCAGCGAGCTGCACGCTCGTTGTGCGGTGAGGTGCAGTGCCGGGCTGCTGCAAAGGCCCTTACAAAGCCGTACTCCAGGTCCCAGCACCAGCAGTGGTTGAAGAGGCGAACAAAGACGGCACGGCCAAAATCTCCAACGAGGATAGTGACGTAAGTAGTGAGGGTGTCCGACACGGTGAGTCGCACAAACTCCTGCACACATCCCGCACATTCAGCCGTTTTTGGTTAATTGCTCACAAGCTTACCATTAGAAGCCGCATAACAATGACAGCTAATACGAAACAATTAGCACACAAGCTTGTTCATTCAAATCCAACACTCTGTAAATGCTGATGAAAATCCATCAGAACAGGAATATGCCAAAGAATAACTAAGCCAGATGTTTGGCTCTTTTGATCGAGATAAGGCAAAAAGCATTGCAATTTAAAGGTGGTGATCACATGACATGCATGTGTAGCGCTGTAAATAGGGCTATATATACTTAATGGGTCGCGCTACTTACCTGCAGTTGCAGACGTGGTCCACCAGGGGCAATACCTCGGACCGCAATATGGGCCGCTAGATTCTCCAGCTCCGAGTCAAGGGGGGGCTGCGGGTGTGCTGAGATCCCCCGGGACCCCCCTTGGAACTCTCTGAAAGGGAGGCGTGGCCGGGGGCGAGCACGCCTCCAGAGCTGTATAAAAGCCGGACCTCTGGACGGCTCGGGCAGCCAGTTGAAGACTGAAAACCAGCTAGCCAGGACCCTGGGACTCCCGTGACCCACCGTCCCTGTAAGGGCCGGGTCTGAGTGGGCTAGTGGTGCGACCCTGGAACCCTCGGGGCCTGACGTCCTTGTAAGGGCCGGGACCGAGCGGCCCAGTGGTCGGGATCTGTACCTTGGTTGGGTCAGGTCAGAATAGCCTCCCCTAGGTCACCCTTAGCCGGAGGACCCAGAGACCTTAGCCCCAGTAGTAGGGCACGTCAGTCCGGAGGTGGTACCTCCTTAGGCAGCGGGTGAAGGGGCCGTTACCCCTTCAAGTGTTAGGGTTCGCTACATGCTGTATCGTAGCCATTGTTAATAAACGTGTTGCCTCTAACCATCCGTCTCCACTCCCGTAAAACCCACACTACACATGCAAGGCATGATGAGAGTTGAGATTTCCTGCTGTCTGTTAGTACACCCTTTGTGTGTTGTTAAATCTCACAGGCTCTCCACAATTCAAGTCGATGTCAAAAAGTGTCCTTACAGTGGCTTGCAAGAGTGGTACACGTATATATACTCTATTCCACAGGAAAACATGTAAACCAGTAAGTGTAAATTCTGGACACCTCATGACAATTCTTGCTTTGAATTTCCATAGTGTGCCTTCTGTTATTATCCAGTTCAGCATTTGGCTGTGGGTAAAGGGTCATTTAACCAGCCAGATGGAATTAGCAGCAAAGTCAACGACTCACAATTGGAAGCTTGCAAGTTCAAATCCTGGTTGGGGGTTGACTAAGCCCACCAGTTGAACAATGCATCCTGCACAAAGTTTCCGTCGTCTGTTACACAGCACAAACATGCTGGGCCAACCGACAGATTTAGCTTCTGCTGTATCCGATCTGCCTCAAGTGGCCTCCAATCTCCGATTTGCCTCGTGACCTCCTCCTCGTTAAGCCCATTATCTCTGGAACCGGACAAGGTAACTTTCGGTTCTCTGTCACAACTGTGGTTGTCTGGAGTTCACTCCCTCCTCTTCTCTCACGGCGTCAGTGTCGACTTTTTGTCAGAATCTGAACACTTATCTCTATCTTTCATTTATTCTCCTGCGCCCCTGAATGTCCTTTTTGCGTTTAATTTGCGTGTATTATAAATTTAATAATGAATGAATCATCTCTGCAAGGTTTATAAAAACGAGTACCACTTTGTGGAGTCAACACTGGTTGTGCTCTGGATAGACTGACCCACCACCATAGCAATGTGAAATTTCCACCATCGGCTCAAGGCTGTAAGCAAGCAGGAAATGAGCACCACCTCAACACTCATTCGAGTGGGAAGTGATTAACCGACTTTTCCAAAAGTTAATGGAGGTCTGTATGTGGGGTCGGTAGATCACCGCTTTAACAAAAAAATATAAAAAAAATTGTATTTTACCAGGCAAGGCCCACTGAGCTTATATATATCTTTTTCAGAAGCGACCTGGCCAAAAACGATAGCTCAACGAAGTGGCTTATCATCACGTGGAAATGTATAGCAGCCAAACACTCTAAACACATGACGTTGATTCTAAATTTGGAGGGAAAAACCTGAGGACCCAGAGAAACATCCACATGACCACCAGGAGAGAGAAAGCATGCAAACTAAACATATATAGCACGCGTTTTCAGGGGTCAGGATCTAACCCACGACTTCTTGTAGCTTACCTGCCCCACCATGGTCTCCCAGCAGGGCCCACGCGGAATGTCCATGGGATCCATGGGTATGAGCGGGGGCATCGTGGCGTTCTCTGCCAGCGTGCCGTTTAGCACCACGGGGTAGAATGGGTGCAAGATGAATTGCATTTGAGTCGAATTTCGAAGCTTGCTTTCCTCCACCAGCTGCTCGCAGAGGGAGAAAGACGCAATCGGTGAATTACTACACGTGGAATGTGCATCAGGGAGCTGGTAATGGAGTGTGTTGCACGTGCCCCACATTCACATTTAGATCTGCAGGAAAGTGTGGAATCTGTCATCATCTTCATTCAACTGTCCCTGAACCGCAGTGGTCATTGAGAGGGGGTTTCACTGATGCCTCCTCGGCTGTCAATTCTCATATTTGCCAGTCGCCTGCAATCTATGTCAGGTGTTGAGCTGGCTTGTCAGTCCACGTTCCCACATTTGTCGTCCATTGATAGTGGGTTGTGTCCTCTCATTCTTTTCCCTTCTACCATGCCCTGTAAGAATGTGTTGGATAGACACCCCCTTTCGTGACACGTGTTCAAATCATGGGAATTTCCTTTTCTTCGCGGTTGTGAACAGTGGTTTGTATTCTGTCACCGTTCCCAAGATTACAGCCACAGTGGATTTGTTTTTGCGCGGAATTCCATTCTAGTTCGATATTTTTTTGGCGATACTACGTCATGTTGTACAATCCAAGGTCCACAATAAACATATCATCCGTTTAGCAAAATATTCATACCATGATTATTGTTTCTTATAAAAAAAATTCTAAACTATTTAATTTCCTGGCAAAATAATTATGAAATAATGATTAACTTGCATTATGATTAAAGTAAAAAAAAAGTTGATACCCATTAAATGAGCGCTTTGACGTCATAGGGATGATATGATGTCATAATTTTGTGACAGAGTGTACAATATAAGCATTACAGTGTACAATTGCAATGATTAGTCGACTATTGGCAGGCTAATTTTAGGTTAACTTACGTTAAATCACTAAAGATCAAAGTACAAAAACAAGACGATAAAAAAGTGCGAAATACAACGACAAACTTACGGAGAACTTATCGTGCAATAATCATTGTATTGTGAGATGTAACATTTGTATCATGAAATGTTACATTTCGGCGATCGTTCACCTAGCTGCGTTCGAGTCACATTCATATCAATCAGCAAAGTGCTGCGCATGATGGCTTTGTTTGTTGTGTAAGTTCGTTGCTGGACCACGAGGGCTTCCATCTGTCTGGGTTACACTTGGACAGTCTGGTAAATGGGAATCTGTGTTTGTATGGCAGGAACTGATTTGTGCAGAAATGTGGTGGCATTTAATTTAATTGTATTGCAGGAGACTGCACCGTTGTGATAGACCTTGGCTGACTGTGAAATACATCCGGATTTGTTCTATAGTGCAAAAGGTGGCAACCCCATGTGCCAAGCCCTTACCTTGTTGTTGATTTCGTCCATGAGGGCGATGATGAAAGTGTACAGGTTGCCCATGAAGAGAGCGAAGATGCGGGCAAGTTGCCACCGCAGGGCGATACGGGGGTGGTAGTTTTCCAACTCCCCGATCATGTCAAAGAGCGCCGGGCAAAACATACTCAAGAGCGACATGACCACGTTCACCTGCCCAACATTGGTACACATCACCACCGACTCAACAAGCCAGAATAACAGCCATCGTAATAAAAATATATATACGTATAACATTTGCATATTCAGGGAACTTGCTTAATTGCCTAAGAAACCCAAAGCGCCTGACGTCACATCTTATCTCAACGATTCAAAGGGGGACCCCAATAGTGGCAGCCGTCCCTGTGCGGCACGAGGTGACTCAGCATCGGCCTGCATAAACCATCACGCAAACTCTGGTCATGCTTGGAGTAGCTGTTGGCTAACCATCAAACAAAGAAGGTTACTATGTCGCGCACTTTCAGATGCGCTTCTGCGGACGTCTGGAACGCTCTTCCTTCCGATATAATGAAGCCACTTGAGCTATGCACTTTTAAATAATTATCTAGATTGAAATCTCATTTCTTTAGAAATGCTTTTTGTGTTCATTTTGTTGTCCTTCACTCGCATATTCGATTCGCACAGTTGACTACGTACGGTGTGAAAGAAGTTCAACATACATACAAGCCACGGAATCTTTATCATCCACTGTACAATAGATGACACAAATTCCATGGTCAATACATTCGCAGTATTAATCAGGGTAGCCTGCCAGAGTTTGATAGCATCGGCTGAATGAGAAATATGTCTGGGTTTCGTCTGTAGAAAAGGTGGCAGAACTAAATTCCCCTGATATGCAATAATTCTAATATCACTAATAATTCTAATATCACTGCATTCTCTCTGAATGTTGGTAATTTCCAATGAATCCTAAAAATCCTAAACATGCCAGGTTAGTGTAAGTTGAGCTCACAAATAACGTCATCACATCTATCCCTCTATTTAAGGAACGGAACAAGAGGGTTTCTCCACAAATCTGGCTGTCGCCTGATGAAGCTAGTTGTTATTACTGGTGAAACGTCGTACTCAGGTTGTAAATGTTGTGGATTTGCTCACAAACACACCGGTGTGCTGTACTCGTGATGAAGTGCCATGTTTTATTTACGTGACAAATCTTACTAATTGGCTGTGTCGGGTGGTGGCGGGTTTAACGACATATTTATATTTACGCGATCTAACCCCAAAAAAACCCTATATTACTCGTGTAATTTGTTTAACCAGGTGAGAACTCAAAAGCACATGACGACTTCACGTTCACGAACTAATAAGTGATCCATCAATCCCATCGTGTCTACCAACAGAGGCTATTGAGTTATCTCTTCTTGTAAAGTAAAATAAGGGTACAAAGTAGAGTTTCCACCTTTTACGCAGACTAAACCCGGACATACTTCTCAACCTATAGAAACTGTGCGATATACCGCAATAAAGTTCAACACGATACTGGTTCCGGACTTTGGTACAAATCTATTTTTGCCACCTAAGCACAGATGCAAATTCCCGGACTGCACAGAGGCATATCTAGAAATATCCAAAGGCAAGAGTGGCCCCAACATTTCAAGCTTTTTTCATAGGGCTCTACATTATGCATAAAATAAAAGCACTTAATGAAATTTTGCTCGCAATTATAAATAAAAGTACTTTTCAGGGTCTGAAGGAGGAGGCATTGCCCCCGTCACTTCCCCCCGCCAGTTCCACTACTAGGAATGTCAGAACCAAACCCAGAAAGATGACAACGGTTATGAATGTACAATATTAGAATGACGCTGCTGATGACGATGAGCCGATGTGTGCTCACTTCATTGCGCTCCCACCACCCGTAGTTGTCCCATCCATTGCGTGAGAACGTTTGTGCTCGCTTGACGACGTAGTAGATCAGGTAGCCACTGCCCGCAAGTGACCAGGCGATGAGGAAGTTGGCCAGTACTCGCAGGAAGCGCTGGAGATGGACATTCTCTTCCTTGCGGTTCTCCTGCTCTTCCACTATCGATTCCTGCATGCGCACAAAGACAAATCTGCATAACACCTACATAGTGGCAAAGATAGAAAACAAGAACCGACAGTGTGGCCTACACAGCTTGTTGCACAAGTGCTGTTTGCGAACACCAGGTTAATGCCAGAACACAGCACAGGAGGGTGTAAGTGTCCTCCGAACCCAAGTGCTGATGTTTACTTGGGCATCCGGTGGAAATCTGACCAAGGAATTTGACCAAGGGCGCTATGGTGGCAAGATCTTAATTATCTCGCCTGGTATACAGGAGGCCGTGAGTTCAACCCCGACCCTGACTCCTGTATATTTGGAGTTTGCGTGTCTCTCTCCCTGTAGTCGCGTGAACTTTTCTCCGGGTGCTCCGGTTTTTCCCTCCACATTTAGAAACGTGTTTAGAGTTTAGTCAGTTTTGTTGCCAGATAGAAGGGTAAAAAAACAATTATCCTATTTTTAACTGGCAAATGAGGTTCCAATGGTGTAAATGCTTACTCGACATCTCATACTCTGATGGTGCATTGTCTTTAAGTTGTGTGCCTTTTGGCGTCATCTGGTCCAACCCATGTGAGACTAGGCTCTAAGGAAAGCTGTCTCGGGTGTGGACCAATCATCTTCAAGGACAGTGCACACATTATCAGAGTTGTGTTTTTTGTTTGCATTATGACTGCAGGTATTGTGGTCTATGCAAACATGACTCCTTGTAAAAAAGGTGTCAGTTTTGTTGCCAGATAGAAGGGTAAAAAAACTAGTATCATGATAAGCCACTTCATTTGTGCTATCATTTGTGGTCAGGTTGCTTCTGAAAAAAAGCTATATAGCTCATTGGGCCTTACCTGGTAAAATAAAAAAATAAAAATTTGAATTTAGTTTAAACGTTTCTGTTTTCTGAGCCTATCGCATGATGCAGCCGAGGAAATCTCGGAAAGAGCCATTCATTAGGATAAACTACAGGTGAACCTATACGGTAGTTCCCATTCTTACAAGTGTACAGAACAGAAGGCATATTTACGACCGTACAATTTCTTGTGCTGGTTTGTGCAAAAGACACATTCGTAAAACTAAAAAAAAATATGGGAGAAAGACAAGGAGGGAGATCACCAGTGCTGCCTAAGTGGCCGAAATATTTTTTCTTTTAACATTGAAATAAATTGTATTAGAAAATCACCATCTGGCAATGAGGGGGTGCAATGTCGCCACTAGCAGATTAACATCGTGGGCGGACGGCATGTAAGGCCACGATTCACCGATCGCGTCAGTCCCACCACGCGCTCTGCGAGCCTGCACACGCTCGCACGCTTCTTGGGCATTGTTTGAATAAATTAAGTTGCACAGGTTCCACCAATTGCATCAGTCCACAAGAGTGCTATCGCTACGTACCCGAAACACTGTGGTGGTGGACGCAATCTTGCTGTCGGCGGTCTCCGGGTTTCCGATTAGGTAGTCCCAGCTGGTGAACATCTTCCAGCTGAAGTTGAAGTTATCGTCGCCCTCTCCGCCCTGGCTTTCATGGACATTGCGCGCCATCCTGAAGCACGGCACACACCGCGCATCGTGGGCAGGAGCACAGCGACCCAACAACACGCGAATCAACTTAAGAACATACGCGTACACGTCACGTGTGTAGTGATTACAGTGGCATGCAATCGCACGGCAGTGACACACGTACGGTGAGTCCTCACTTAATGTGTGTTCACGTAACGAGTTTTCGCGATAACGTACCTCTTCCATTCGGGAAACACTTTGCTCATAACGCAGAACATGATAATTGGTTCTTTACCCTTCTATCTGGCAACAAAACTGACACCTTTTTGCAAGGAGTCATGTTTGCATAGACCACAATACCTGCAGTCATAATACAAACAAAAGAACATAACTCTGATAATGTGCACTGTCCTTTATCAGAGTTATGTTCTTTTGTTTGTATTATGACTGCAGGTATTGTGGTCTATGCAAACATGACTCCTTGCAAAAAGGTGTCAGTTTTGTTGCCAGATAGAAGGGTAAAGAACCAATTATCATATTTTTACTGGCAAATGAGGTCCCCATAGTGTAAACGCAGAACATGTCCTGTCATAACGCGGAACATGTCCTGTCATAACGCAGAACATGTCCTGTCATAACGCGGAACATGTCCTGTCATAACGCAGAACATGTCCTGTCATAACGCAGAACATGTCCTGTCATAACGCAGAACATGTCCTGTCATAACGCGGAACATGTCCTGTCATAACGCAGAACATGTCCTGTCATAACGCGGAACATGTCCTGTCATAACGCAGAACATGTCCTGTCATAACGCAGAACATGTCCTGTCATAACGCAGAACATGTCCTGTCATAACGCGGAACATGTCCTGTCATAACGCGGAACATGTCCTGTCATAACGCGGAACGCACCCGTTGTGACCCCGTTTCTGAGCGGTCGACGACAAACTATTTTCTTGAGCTGTGTGACTGCGCGGTACGATATTGCACGTGGAGTGATACAGTAACACGGCGGCGTACCCTCATTTATTTGTCCTGCCATCTCGCTTTGTTTGCATACACCGTCGTATCTCGCCAAAATTTATCGTTACATTATTTTGGGGGAAATAATTTTCCTTTAACACGGAACTTTTCAGGAAACGTATCTACCCCGTTCAATGAGGACTTACTGTACAGCACTGCGATTACAGAAATGCACCTGCAGAATGGTGCACTGTACAGTGAGTAAAGATGCCACCATGCAATGCAAATGTTTGGTAGATATTTGTACCCCCAGATATTTGTACCCCCAGTTTTCTATCATGAACCGCCACATACTTAAGGACCTGGATAAGGAAGCTCATTCATGGGGGAGCTGAGCTTCTGTTAACACCTGATGATATGTATGTAATTGCCCATGAAACGTCGTTAAAAATTATAAAAATGTTGCCTGCTGTTCAACAATCTGGAGATTTCCTGAAATGTATATATTTGCCCACGTGACAACTTGATTTGATTGGCTGTCAGGTGACCGAGGGTATAACTTTAAATTGGTATTATACCGACATGATCTAACTCAAAAGTAAATAATTACGACACATTAATGGAGTTGGCCAAACATCCCAATATAGGACCATAGAGTTTGGGCAATTGTTGGCACCAGTTCTGGCTGTTTTCCAGCTTGTATGTGGTTCCCATGCCTTTGAATCTCCCTCTCTCTAAGAGTGCATGAAAACTGCGTATTACTAATGATAAATAAATATATGTACTATTATTACTTGCACTTGTTGGCTACATATTCCGTATCATTTCACTCCGAAGTGAAGGATTCTTCTCTGTAGAGCACTGACACTGATGGGCTGGCGATGCCAGGGTGTTGTCGGCGCCTTTCGGGGTGTCTCTGGGCGGCCCTCACGTGCGAATGAGCACCATGAAGCTGTAGGCGAAGCAGCCGAGCCCCACTAAGAAGTAGGCGAGCGGCAGCCGGTACTTGAGCCAGCCCACTTGGCGCTGGTTGTCGTAGTAACCGCAGAACAGCACCGAGTACTGCGCTAGACCCTGCGAAACGGACGCGTCGTATCATTAATTGCGGGAACCGATTTACACACCCGGTCATGAATTTACACCGAGTGTAGAGAAATTCACTCACCACTCCGGGATTCATCTGGTGCGAGTGTACGCACCTGGTGTTTAACAACAACAACCGCGCTCGTAAACATTGATCCAAGCGACCACACATACACACACGCCCAGAACAGAGAACAACACCCCACACAAAGCAGAACACACGGGCTTGCAATATATCAGAATGCACTAGGTGCACACACAAAACAAATATTACTGTGTGATTTAATTAATGTAATTGTGGTGTCTGACAAATTGAATTATTGATTGTAACTTCAAATTTACACACGTAACAAAACATAGCGTACATCAGGGCCGGGGCGACGTGGGTGCTGGGATAGACCCTGCACCACCAAGTGTAATTTTGGCTCAACCCAGGCCACTCTCCTGGGTGGTGAATCACCGTTATGGTTGCCCACACAACCCAGCCTTCCTGCCCCCCCCCCACTACCGATCCGAGAGAAGCTGCAGCCGGGCCTCACTGCACAAGGCATGTGAAATTATGGTGATCTAAAAAGGAAAGCTCCACTTGGGCCAGACACGGGAAAATGGAAAACAAAAAGAGCAACTATCTTTAAAACTAAACTACTTTTTATTTTATCATGTAAGGCACTCTGAGCTATGTAGCTCGTTTTCAGCAGCGACCCGGCCAAAACTGATTGCTCAACGAAGTAGCTAATCGTGTGGACATTTATAGCAGACACATACTCTCAATGCATGTTGATTCTAAATGTGGAGGAAAAAACACACTCTAGGACAAGGCGAGAGAAGATTATGATGGGGCCGCGCACCCACAGGGACACGTTAGCGGTTAGCCCATCGGAGCCCGAGCAATATTCCACAGTGACTGCACAAACTTCCAATAAAATAACCGGCACAATAGTGTGGCACAATTATGTGCATGTAAACCATGCACCATGTGCCCTTAACAACAACAGCCGAATTCAGAGATTGTCCACTAATTGACTATTAAAACCAACGAGATCTCACTCACTTGCTGCACACGTTAACCAGTACAGACACGGGCATGACACACACACACGACACTCCAAAATTCACATACCATAAAATTCCACAGGGTGGCAAAGTTCATGGCGGTTGCAGAGTCGTTTCGGGGAACGGCCTTGCGTGGCATGCTGCCATAAGGTCGGCCCATCAATGCCTACATGCACCAAACAGAGTACATACACGCATGATGAGACTGAATGTTGAAACCGGTCCAGAGATTGCTTGTATTAAACAAATACTGCTGGAGAAAAAAACACTCTCAGATGTCCATGGGGATGATGAGATGAGTCAAAAATACCTTGTTTTAAGTGCTGAGAAATATATGGACAGTAGGTATATAGTCTGCTAGTTATATTATAACAGTACTTTAGGCCTCCATAGAACACACACACTACACACAAAGCAGATCACATGCATACAATGTATAAGAATTAAAATTATATACATAACACAGCAATAGCCCATTATACGTACCTCGGGCACCATAACCAAGCCAAAGGTCAAACCAAAGAGAACCATGTTTATGCCGTACATCCAGCGCAGGAAGATGAAATAGGATGCAACCGATGAGCCGAAATGACCTTCCAGAGCACACACACACACACACAGGCGCACACACTCAAGCATGAACACAAACATATTGTATATGGGCCTGACAAGATTGTGCACACATTCACCTGTGTTGTTTAATCGTTCTTAAGGCAGCATGCAGGGCAATGTTTTAGTTTTCATCGTGTTATGGATACACAAAAATGTATAGTGTTGAGCCCAGAGGTGTTGAGAGAAGCTGTGCACGATGTGTTTTCACTCACTCTCAATCTCCTTGATCTTCATCTCCCAAGGAATGCAAGCCGTACGAAAATTCTCAAAATCCCGTTTGAATTTCATCCATTTCTGTGGAACGACGGTGCCAGCAAACACGTGATCGGTTAAGTCTAGTTTCAACATCAAGACGTCATCGAGGCCAAAGCCATTGATGTCATTGCAACTCGGTACCAACGCTCTCCACCCTCCGCCAGATCCCGCAACTGCTGCACAGGAGACGCACATCGACCTCCAAGATTTACCCTGACATCTATGATAACTTTTTGCCAGTATCAAAAATGATGAAAATAAGAATAGGTTTTAACATGTCTGACAATAAAGCAGGTAAAACATCTTAACGCCTATTTTATTACCAGAAAGGGTAAAACCTATTCTTATTTTTCATCATTTACTCTGGCAGTTTCCCACCCTCTGCTCTTAGGTCTTCTCTTCCACTTGGTCATAGGACTCATGGAGCCTACGACAATGCCTGTCTCGGCAATTGGGCCCTCCCAACCTGCACACATGGCTCACCCAGCATAGCTCGTTTTGGCTAATTAGTTCTCCACCAATGACCTGCCACGGGTCTCTTCTGGACTCTTGCGTTGTGTATCCTGTCTCACCACAGAATTATTAGCATAAATCACAAACACCTGTGCTCAAATGCCAGAAACGTTATTTCAAGTTGCTTAGTTAAGTATTCATCTCTCTTATCCATACCGCAATAAAAGATAGCACTTCTGTCTCAAATGCCCTTTTAAAAAATCGGTCTGGTTCATGATGAGGATAACTTGTTCTATTAAAATATTTCACTTGCTCATCTCACCAGATTGATTCCGAATATTATCTCCCAAACACATCCTTATTCTCACCATCAGCCACGTACCCCTCACTCACACTCACCCTTCACAGCCATGCTCCGCACGCATCAATACCCAGTGTGAAATATCGTTAATGATATATAACATGCTGCTCATAATAATACCCGGTCTAGATGTTTAGTAACCACAAGGCGATGCTTGTCGGTCTTTTTCCAGTTCTCTTTAAATGTGGGTGAATGTTTTAGGCACAAATCCAATGTCAGTCTTCAGTGAATTGGACAAACCCCAACAATACCCGATTCATAACTCAGTTTAGGTTGGGCCACATAATGATCTGGCTACATTTTTGTCACGAATCCCCACAACACCCGATATAACCAAATAAATGAAATTGTCATATGCACAAGTGTTTACACGGCGATCATTGTCAAGCTTCTACACACGATAACTGAAATTATTGGACTACGTTGAGGGGTGGAGAGTTTTACAACTAGTCCTAAAAGGCCAGATCACTACGTGGCTTAACCTCAACGAGTAAATAAAGAATCATAATATCGGGTGCGAATACCTGTGTGTTAAGATAACAACACCTGTAACAGCCTTCCTTACGCCACATCACATGCTGGACCTGCCACAGAATTGCCACTGCGAGACATCTTGCAGTAATATGCTCTTCACAAACATTTCACTCCACACCTGTCAACCAGGAAAATTCAGCCAGCTGCTCATATTAAACCAGCGAGCACATACACCGTATGCCCAGGCTGTGCATTCCTTATCAAACAACTACAATTCGAGGGCAAGCTTGAAATTTGTATTTTTTTATGAAGCCAGGTGTCATTGCAGTTATGTCAGTTACATCACTTCGTGAAATGTCAACAGTGGTTGTTCTATGGATAAAATGGCCCCTCCCATATGGATGTGGAATTTCCACAGCTAATTCTGAGCAGTCAGCAGATATATGTGATGCGCCAATATTTGAGCGTGCGGAAACGTAGATTAGAGCAGAACTCCAATATTAATATAAATAATCAGTCCGATAATATGAATCTTTGTAATTCGCGGATTGTTGGCAGTCCGTGACTGCTCCCGTATACCATGGCACACCGCAGTCGAGTGAAAACGCTTCTACGGAGCCACAAACCGCGATCCATAGGGGTGGTCATGGTTAATGACCACTCCCATGCTGCAGTAGCGGAGCAGTGCTGACATTATTTAATTAGAGAACATTTTTTGCATGTATTAGACGTGGATATCACATTCAAAAATGCAAATATCCTTAAATAGACACATATGACAGGTTTCCACCATTTTGGGTCTTAGAAAAAAACATTTATTTTGGATTAATTTATCTGCTAGTCATGTGTCGCGTTTGCCCTATAATCCGCAAATCTTTTGTGGAATAACCTGGGTCTCTTTCTGCCCTTAATCCGTGGCACACCACGCCAGCGTAAATAAAACATTGCCATGGATTGGGTTGCAATTCTGCGGTATGATGCAGATCACAGGTTCTGCCATGTAGTCCCCACATACCAACACGGGGTATCGGAGTTCTATGGTATTTATAAATGTTTTAAGAGTTGTGATGTGATGAAAAACGCGACATCAAAGCAAATAGTATGACGTTTGTTGTTTGAATAACGCACCTTGGTCATGAGCACCTTGTAGGCGTAGAGTTTCCGTCCTCGTCCCTTGCCCAGGGCTCCCTCGAACTTTTCCACAAACGTCTGTGCCTCCCTGCAACACAGCCAGCACGGAACTCACTACAACCTCACAGCACACACAACACACACACCGCACACCCCACACACAACACCAACAACTGCCATTCGCTACTAAGTGGTGGTGACGTCACCATGCCAGGCCATGTGCACCTTGAGGCCACGTGAAGTGTCGAACGCCCGCTGGCAGGATGTCACGGGGCAGACCCAGGTGCCACGGGTCAACTGACCGAAATGACTGGCTGATGCACCACCTGTGCCACCTACTGTGCCAACTTTCTGTGCTTTAGCCACCCGGCGCTCCACTCGTTGTTGTGAGCGTCGCTCCTCCGCCCTCCGTTGTTGTTGGAGGGCGACTGCCTCCAACTGCCCAGTAGCATCCTTCACGAGCCTCCTCGACAGAGGCCGATCTTGACACTACTGGTACCAGTCATCGGCAAGTCCACTCAGCTCCACGTCTTCCGGTACCACGTCACTCCATCTCTTCCCGTTTAGCCCTCTCGATCCGGCCGAACAAAAGCTGTTTAGGCATGCGGTGGCTGGGCATGCGGGCTACATGGCCCAGCCAACGCAGCCTTGCCTGCCGGAGGAGCTCACCGATGGGACTTTGCCCAGATTGATCGTAGGCAGGCCAGCCTAAATGTTTCTAACCGGCGAAGATGTTCCATTAGGGGAGTCCACGTTTCGCAAGCGTAGAGAAGGGAGGGAATGACCGTGGCCGAGAAGACCTGAAGCTTCGTGCGGAGCGACAGACCAGGTAGCTTCCACACAGCGTTACGCAACCGATGAAAATATATTGCCGCTCGACTGATTCGGAGTGAGACCTCTGCTGTTAAACCGGAGCCGGTCATGAGCACACTGCCCAGGTATGGGAAACTCTCCACTCTCTCCACAACTGCCTCATCACCGATTGGGAGTTGTGGGGGTGGAGTGTCCAATGGTACAAAATACCCAGGCAGGTGCTTAGTTTTGGTGGGGCTGATGGTAAGGCCCCACCTCTTAGTGGCATGCTCCAGTTTCAGCAGCAGTGTCTCCAACTCCTCCTCTGAATGAGCAGCAATTACCAAATCATCGGCATTCATAACGTGGTTGACCAATAGGGAGCCATTCCTTGACCGCACCTGGGCATCGATCAGCCTCCCATTGTATCTGTACCAAATGGAAATTCCACCAGTACAGCTATTGAAGGCTTCATGAACTACGTGGTCAAAATAAATGTTAAATAATGTGGGAGCCAGAGGACATCCCTGTCACACCCCAAGGTGTACAGGGAATGGCTCTGACTCCCGGTCACGTAGTTTTACCCCGGCCCGCTCACCATCATGAAGGTCCTTAATGATCGTGCAACACAGCCAGCATGGAACCCACTACAGTGTTACACACCACCCAACAACACAGCCAGCATGGAACTCACTCGAAAGTCACACCCCACACAGCACACCACCCAACAACACAGCCATCATAGCGGCCGTTTGTGAGATCACACTCATTGCAGATGAAAAACAACGTATACTGCACAATATACATGTCACAAGGTCATTTCAATGATGCCACTGATGCCACCACATCGCAGGTCCTCAACTGTATCTGACCCACACACACAGTTGGGGTGTTTTAGGCATCAGCAGTTATTGGCCCAAATCATGTCACTCCGAATTATAAATAATAATTTTCTGCGATCTTACATTGACATGCTAATCTTTCACAATAAAATGGGCACCTCCGGGCCCTCGTCGTGGAGGTAGCGCTCTAATCCTACATTTACATGCAAATTCCTCACTTTAACATCACTAGCCCCACCCACTTCGTTTATTACCCTTGGGCTACACCCATTTCAAACCTTTTAAACAGCCTGCCTCAGCAGCTTTCCCCCTCTTTTTTATCCTGATGACGATTGCTTGTGTTGTGATTGAAACGTCGTAGTTTTCTGTTATTTTTGATTATTTTCTTTGAACCTATCTACGTGACTTTACCGAAAGACCCAAGAATATGAATTCCTGCAGTCACGAAAGCTTTAAGTCAATAATTTTCTGCTTTATTTGTAATTTAGTTTGACTATATAGTCATGTTTGAGATGTTACGATGTTTTCACAGACTTTAAAATTATTATTTTCAACAATATGAAAAGCACATCTTCATTCGACCATTGTCCCCACAGCAGCAATGCAATGAGCATCACTCTGTACGAACTCAACAGTGGTTGTCATAAACTGACTTCTGACATATGAATGTGGAATTTCCATTACTGGCTCAGGGCTGCCAATGGATATGACTCCCACCGCACACTCATGTAAGCAGAGAGACACTTGGACTCTTATCTTCACTGGCGGAGCAAGTGTGGGTGGGTTGGCACATGCCCCCCCAATGATCCGATCGAAATCCCTAATTTCGATCAGATCATTGGGGTTTATTAGTAATAAATCGGCATTTGCGACCCCAACTGCCACTGTGTAGCATATTATTACATGCCAGGGACTCTATGAGATGATAGGACAATAGTCTGAGTCCATAATTGGCAATAAGTAACGGCAAAGCAGTTTAAGTGACTCGCAGAATTGTGGACAGTTGCGTATACATTACACGACTTCCCTGAAGGTAAACACCTTCAGCGAGCGCGATGCCGATCACACGCGGTTCGAATTCGACCCTGGATCGATAGCTGCGCCATCGCCACACACGCGTCGAATAAAAAGCAAGGGACAAGTCCTTACTTACTAACAACTCCTATCATTTTTCATTGCTGGAGGGGTTGCCCACCCTACCTGAAAATCCTGTCTCCGCCATTGCTTTTCTTTATATACCTTCCTCCTGCAATGTTTCTGTAATTGCACGTGCATCTCCGATGCATTGTGTACTCCATGAGGATAATACTAGATTTAAAGCTTTCGTGACTGCAGGGATTCATCTTCTTGGTTCTTTCGGTAAAGTCACGTAGAAGGGAAGTAATAAAATAATAAAAATAAAACATAATAAAATAATTCTCACGACGTTTCGGCCACAATGCAAGCAGCCGTCCTCAGGTGAAGAGCATGTCTGTCGATAAGACAGTCTGAATGACACGTCCTAGGCTTGGAGCGTCTATTTAAGCTGGGAGGGAGGAGGAAGAGCGCCTTGACAAAATAATTTGCATATGAAGAGGAATTTAGCATATTTATGGGAAATGCAGGAATGCGACTAGTGCTACTTGTGAAATGCAGTAGGAGGTGGGCGGGGGGTTTTCAAAGTCATATTATGCCCATGCATTATGCAGGATTAGCAGCATCAAAGGGAAGGGGTAGGGGTAGCATTAATAAAGGGAAGGAATGTTAATAGTATGTAGCTGCAGTAACTAAACAACCACGTAAAAAGCTAAAGTATAAACTACATAGTATCATCAGTATGCTAAATATACTCTCAATAAGCTGAGCTACTAACTGTAAGTAATACATTACAATTCTAGGTCGCAAAAAATATAATATGCTTCCAGCTAAACTTTTTAAAACTTTTTCCTTACATCACACAGGTCTATCCTGTACTATATGCTGCCATAGACAAACCCAACATTAAATTGTATACTGTATTACTATACACTACCCTATGTCTTAGAATAATACATAGTGTAATATTACACTATGTATTATTCTACCCACCCAACTGTATACCACACTGCTGTAAATTCACTATACAATTACGATACTATATATTACCTTATACATTGTATTAAACATTACACTTTAATACTATGTATTATTATACAATATGCTATACACTATACCATTGACCGTCGCGTGAAAGGTACTAAGAGGAAGAAACGAAATATGTCAATGGGAGAGTGGTGGTAGGAAGCTTGCAGCGGAGCAAAGAATCCATTCCCTGCGGAGAACACAAGATATATAGTCAATGTCAGTGAGTGGAACGCGGTCTGAAAGTCTCCGTAAACGTGGACACAATCAGTTAAGATCCGAAATGGTTTATTACGTCCTTCCAATGATTGCAAAGCCGGAATCCATCTTCTCGGTTGAAATTGTCTCTGTGTTTGTATATGTGGATCGCCTCATGAACGAATCTCTCATGGTAGCCAGATGGCTTGCAGATAACCTCTGTCTTGGAGAAGTCAATATCATGTGAACCCACTGAATTGTAACAGTGATCTGCCACGGCTGAGGTGTTTGTCCTACCGTGTTTCAAGTCTGCTTTATGTTCACGGATGCGGTCCGAGACATGTCGTTTGGTTTCTCCAATGTAACTGCTACCACAGAGGCAACTTAGTTTGTAGACATCAGGGTACTACTGTATGTCTGGAACCACATCTTTTACAGACGGGACCAGCTCACGGATTTTATGTACCGTGTTGAATCGGACCTGGATCTTGTGTTTAATCAGGATTTTGGAGATTTTTTTTGTGACCCCAGCAATGTAGGGTAAGGTGATGGTCTTGAGAAGCTCCTCAACAGGATCCTTCTTGATGGTTGGAGTGATGGCTTTGCGGATTGTGTAGTCGGAGTAACCATTAGCCTTAAGAGCTTGGCGTACGTGTTTGAGTTCACTGGCAATGTGTTGCTGGTCGGAAATGCATTGGGCTCTTTGGTATAGAGTCTTGATGAGGGAATTCTTCTGGGATGGATGGTGGTGGGAATCCGGTTTTAGGTAAGCATCCGTATGGGTGGCTTTCCGGTAGACAGAGTGGCTCATTGAGCCATCAGGTCTCCTTTTAATTAGGACATCCAAAAAGGGTAGCTTGCCATCTTTTTCGACTTCCATGGTGAATCTGATGGCTGGGTGTATGGAATTGATGTGGTCGAGAAATTGGTCTAGAGCAGGCCGACCATGTGGCCAGATGACAAAAGTGTCATCTACGTACCTCTTCCATAAGGTCGGGCGTAGAGTGGCAGTCTGGATGGCGTCAGTCTCAAATTTCTCCATGAAGACGTTGGCTACAACCGGAGATAGAGGGGAGCCCATTGGGGTGCCCTCAGTTTGCTTGTAGAAAGTACCATTCCAGGTGAAGTATGTATTGGTTAAGCAGTGTCTCACCAGGGGGGGGTACCCCAGCATTCAGTCCTTGATTAACCAAGTCTTCAATGATTGCGATGGTGTCAGGTACAGGAACTTTGGCGAATAAGGAAACCACATCAAAACTGACAAGCAGGTCGTCTGGGGACAGGGAAATCCCCTTGATTGTCGATACCAGGTCAGTAGAGTTTAGTACCGCAGAAGTGGTTTTTCCAGTGAAAAGCAGTAGGATTTCAGACAATAAACGAGCCAGTTTGTATGTGGGGGAGTTGATCGTAGAGACAATGGGACGAAGAGGTGTATCTTCTTCATGTATCTTTGGCAAGCCGTATAATCTTGGTGGCCTGGCTGCAGAAGGTTTCAACGAGAACTGTTTGGTCTGATCAATTAATGCGGTTGAATCAGAAATGATTTGGTTGGTTTTAGAGACGAGGCTGTTGGTGGGGTCTCTTTTTATTTTTTTTTATAGCTGCCATCGTTGAGTAGTTCTTGAATTTTGTTGTTGTATTTTATGTTGTCCATGATGACAGTGGCATTGTATTTGTCAGCTGAGAGGATGACAATGTCATCCCTCTTTTTTGATTGAGCTAATTCAAAACGCTCATCTTTGCTGATGTTGCTAGCTGGCATCTTAGCGTTTTTGAGGGTTGCAGAGATTTCAGATCTTGCTACGTCTGCAGAGATGTGACTCAGGCCCTTGAGAGCTACATTTACTCTAGCAATTATATCATTAACTGGTATGTGTCTAGGTGTGACTGCAAAGTTTAGTCCTTTAGCTAAAACGGATTTCAGACCTTCAGAAATAGAACTGTTACTGCGATTAATTACGACTTTGTTAACGTCTAGCTTTTCAATGTGTGGGTCCGGTCTCTTGTTTGAGAGGCGGTTGAATTTGGAAATCAAGTTGTCCTTACATTTGGTCGACATAGCGGCAGCTGAAGAGGCAGTAATTTTGTCTACATGTTCCCAATCCGATGTGGACATTGTTGCACTCAAAGATAAGTGATTTGTAGAGTGTCTTGTCTAACTGATCTAGATCGGTGCACGCAAGTCTGATTTTCTCTGAGATAAGAGCTAAGCTAGTTCTAGACAGAATTCGTTTAGCATTAGAAGAAGTTACAGCAGCAGATGTTAGTGTAAATGCGTTTGGTATTACCTTAGAGTCGCGGCATCTCTTCAGAAAGGTGAGAGACTCGATTAGCTGAGCCTTCTTATCACGGAGCGTGTTGAAGGATCTCAAAGTTACGTGGAATCCCTCCCCGTAGAGGCGGTTGACATATTTCTTTGCTTCCTCTTAGTACCTTTCACGCGGCGGTCAATGGTATAGTGTATAGCATATTGCAGCAGTTTGCAGCTCATTGCAGGGTGAATATTAGCAAATTAACGCGAATTATGCAGTGAGATGAATATACGCATTCAGGATTAAGCTCAATAGCCAGATTCCACAAGTCATGACTAATCCCATATCTGCATTTCCCATAAATATGCTAAATTACTCTTGATATGCAAACTCTTGGAACCTCCGAGTTCAACCAGTCTACACAACAAAGGTTCATTCCTAACAACGTGTTTCAGCCGCACCTTCCCCCCTTCCAACCCAACTAAAATATACGCTCCAAGCGTGGTGGTGTTTCATTTTGCTTCCTTTAAGTATCTTTCACTCGACGGTCAATGGTATAGTGTATAGCAGATTGTTTAATAATAAATAGTATAAAATTGTAATGTTTAATACATTGTATAAGGCAATATATAGTATCGTAATTGTATAGTGAATATACAGCAGTGTGGCATACAGTTGGATGGGTAGAATAATACATAGTGTAATATTACACTATGTATTATTCTAAGACATAGAGTAGTGTATAGTAATACAGTATACAATTTAATGTTGGGTTTGTCTATGGCAGCATATAGTACGGGATAGACCCGTGTGATGTAAGGAAAACGTTTTAAAAAGTTTAGCTGGAAGCATATTATATTTTTTGCGACCTAGAATTGTAATGTATTACTTACGGTTAGTAGCTCAGCTTATTGAGAGTATATTTAGCATACTCATGATACTATGTAGTTTATACTTTAGCTTTTTACGTGGTTGTTTAGTTACTGCAACTACATACTATTAACATTCCTTCCCTTTATTAATGCTACCCCTACCCCCTCCCTTTGATGCTGCTAATCCTGCATAATGCATGGGCATAATATGACTTTGAAAACCCCCCGCCCACCTCCTACTCATTTCACAAGTAGCACTAGTCGCATTCCTGCATTTCCCATAAATATGCTAAATTCCTCTTCATATGCAAATTATTTTGTCAAGGCGCTCTTCCTCCTCCCTCCCAGCTTAAATAGACGCTCCAAGCCTAGGACGTGTCATTCAGACTGTCTTATCGACAGACATGCTCTTCACCTGAGGACGGCTGCTTGCGTTGTGGCCGAAACGTCGTGAGAATTATTTTATTATGTTTTATTTTTATTATTTTATTACTTCCCTTCTACGTGACTTTACCGAAAGAACCAAGAAGAGGATAATACTGTGCGCACTCTAGCATAATTAGTGCATTGGCAAGTATAGATTGGGATAAGGAATGAGTATCCAGGTATTTTCACCGGGCTTGAGAGCACTGGTGTGTTTTGGACAATTCTAAAGTGGAGCAGTACGAGGGAAAAAGCAGAAAGCAGAAAAGGTTGTGAGCTGCAGTGTTCTAAGTGAGTGAGTGATTGGGTGGGTGTTAAGTGAGTGGGTGTGTTGTTGTGACCTGCAGTGTGGTGAGTGATTGAGTGGTTAGTGAGTGTATTATGACCTGCAGTGTAGTGAGTGAGTGATTGAGTGGTAAGTGATTTGGTGTGTTGTTGTGACCTGTAGTGTGGTGGCCTCAAGGTGCACATGGCCTGGCACAAGCGTCGTGGTGACGTCACCGCCACTTAGTGGTGAATGGCGGTTGTTGTTGTTGTAGTGTGGTGGATGAGACAAAACAGCCTGATAGACCGAGTCCATATCAAAACCCATCTCTTCTCCCTTGCCTATCCTACTGCTACTCCCTGTCCCGGCCCCCCCAGCTACGACCAGGCCTACCCCAACCCCAATCACTAACCCTATCACTATCCCAACCCCTATCACTACCCCAACTTCTGTCACTACCCCAACCCCTATCACTACCCCAACTATTGTCACTACCCCAATCCCAATCACTACCCTTATCACTACCCAACCCCTATCACTACCCCGACCCCTATCACTACCCTTATCACTACCCCAACCCCTATCACTACCCCAACCTCTATAACTACCCCAACCTCTATCACTACCCCAACCCCTATCACTATCCCAACCCCTATCACTACCCCAACTCCTATCACTACCCAACCCCTATCACTACCCCAACCCTATCACTACCCAACCCCTATCACTACACCAACCCCTATCACTACACCAACCCCTATCACTACACAACCCCTATCACTACCCCAACCCCTATCACTACCACAAACCCTATCACTACCCCAACTCCTCCTTGCTGTCACCATAGCTACACCAACGCTTTTAATAACCCCACTCTTTATAAGAACCGCTATCATCTAATGTACAATTTTATAATTCTTTTAAAGCGCCTTTTACAAAGGCGCTCTCTATATATACGATTAGGTGGAGGTTACACATGAACAGTAACCATAATACTGTCGTAGCGGTTGAAGAGTGACAAGGAGGCGACTGACTGCCAGTGAATCGGTGAGTGGAGTGAATCAGCGAGTGGAGTGACTCAGTGAGAACTGGATCATCAATCACTCCGACTGCTATACGTTGAATATGAATCACAGCCAGGTAGGAGCTGGGTGCTCCACCCATGGGCGCAGCCACCTGTGGGCGCCCTCCTTTCTCCAGACTCACTTTTATAGAAATAGCTAGGAATGGTTTTTTTGTAGGCTACCACTAAAGATGTTATTTTAGTTGCACCGTGTATTGGGTTTAGAGGAAGACAGTCTCACAGTGACAGTTATTAATTAAAAAAAATGTTTAAAGATACAATACGACTCATAATTAAGTTATCGTGCGTCTTGCTTTCATGCCAGCCCCATCGGTCTTGGATATCCTCAAAGGGGGTGAATCGCGCAACTTCACGTTGCTCTGTTAACACGATAGCCAGATGCGTTACTTGGGCTTGGTCCATGGTAGACCGCAGGTCATTTTTAAAAAACACATTTTAATAATTACTTATTTTTCTTGACATGTTTGTACTTGTGTTATTCGGGGACCCCTTGTGGTTGACTGGGCCCCTATGTGTCGCATAACGCTGCTACACACCCCCAAGCGTAGCTGCGTCCCTGGCTCCATCCACCCTAACATGCAGTGAAATGACACCCTTGGGCACTTGATGTGGAGAGGCACCTTAGTGTTTGTAGACGCCGTTTCATCCGCCAGGGTTTGTTCCGTAGCGTGCTGATGAGCTTCTTTTGCTCTTCCACCTGTTCCATCAGCTTCTCCAGCTCCTCCGCTGACAGAGATATCTCACTCTCTGAGCCGCTGTCACTAACATCGGGAATGCAACGGAGTCACGGCTCAAGAGCAGTAACGCGAGGGATAGCGCAACACACAAGTTCACCGCAAAGGGAAACCGGAATAAGGGATAGCGGTGTCTCGAATGAGTTTCAATTAAGAGGGAAATTATACAAATTACGAGAACCACTGTGTGAACACATAGGTGGCCTGATTCACGTACAAGTTGGTTGTATGGCTTTGTGTAATGATAATTATACCAACATTATAGCGCTGTTAAAGTCTATGTTTAGTTGCTGTTGTCAATGTTGTATCCTCCCGAGAGATATGTACAAATGATGATGTACAAGCACCAAATATAACATGGGATGAACCATTGTACTCCAAGGAGGTTATTCTAATGTACGTGCCGAGGCTCTACTGAAACCTGACATTGTGTGTGTGCTTTAACTCTCACTTGGAAGCGTCTTTATTTTTCTTCTTGCCCTTCTCTTTCTTGCTGCCCTTCTTCCCTCGCTGCTTGCCACCCGTGCTGCCCTCATCCTCACTCTGCTCCTCCTCTTCCTCCGAGTCGTCTTCGTCGTCGCTTTGCTGCTGTCGCCTCTGCCTCGCTTTGCTGCCCCTGTCGCGACCCTGCCCTCTCCTGCCCTTGCGCTGGGCCCTCGCGTCCTTGCGCGGCGGCGGCGGCCGCTTCCGTCGTTTACGGGGAGCGTCCTCGCTCTCGCTGCTGCGCTCCTCCCCGTCGACGGCTCCGTCTTCTTGCTCCGCGTCGCTCTCATCATCCTCCTCCTCCTCGCTGTCGGAGCCCTGCTCATTCGCGTCAACCTCAATGCTCACTTCCGGACACAGCGCAACATCAACAAGTCATTTCGTTCGTCGAAGCGTATGGCAAAGCAGCTTCTTGGGTGTTTTATTGGCGTGGTTGCAGAGGTTCGTGGTTCGATTCTGGCAGACCACCCTGGTTATTACTGTGGGGTGTACTGACCATAGAAAATCTACCGTCTGCTTCAGAGTGGATGTTAACAATCCACTGATGTAATTTGAAAGGAGTAAGCCATTTTCTGCTGGACATCTGTGAAAACTGCTGAATATCTGTGAAAAACAGCTTCACAGCTCATCGGATTTCTTCAGGATAAAGATTCTGATTTTGAAATTCGAAAACTACCAATACATTACTCAATTGTGTTAAAAATTTCAATCATCGGTCCCGACTGGCAGACTCATGTCCGATTGCAGGCCAGGTAATGAGTCATTGTGAGCCTACTTATACGTGACTTTACCGAAAGAACCAAGAAGATGAATCCCTGCAGTCACGAAAGCTTTAAATCGAAATAAATTAGTATATTTAGTAGTAATATGTTTGATTATTGACGGGGTTTTGTATCTTACTCAATAGCTACGTTTAGGTAACCATTCTAATGCCATAATAAACGTTTTTGGGTTAGATCGCGTTATTTATAAATGTGTCATAACTCTCCACCACCCGACACGGCCAATCAGCAAAAAAGTGTCATGTTGACAAAAGACTAAGAGTTCACTACTTTAGCCCACCGGTGTGTTGAAGAGTGAAACCACAACATTTTCAATTTTTGAGTACGCTGTTTCGCTGGTAATTGCGATTTAAAGTTTGTATTCACTTCTCAGCGGAAATAACAAAGAAACCCAAAGAAAGCAACACTTGGAGTAACATTTCATCCCGGACGTCTCGACAGGCCCCTTCCGATTTTCGTTCCATCCGCGGGTGCCCCCACCTACAATACGACAAAGGCCTGCCACCTCAACACCCACCGCCCCGCGCCCCTTTCCCCACCGTCGTCACCATTCACCCTCGCAACGCTCCTTCGCATCGCCTTCCCCCCCTTCCCTTCAAACTTCTCACATTCACGGACGCCATGGTAAGTTCAATGTCGGGATGTGTCTCAGTCTGACTCCGCCCTCTCCGCTCGCCCTCCGTAACAGCTTTCGTTTGCCAGCTCCCGCAGCTTCATCTTGCCCCTTGCTCTCAGGGGTTTCCCCCTGCGCCGGCTCCCCACCATTTCCTCCATCCCCTCCCTCGAGGCCTCCATGTCCGGCGAAGAGTCCAAGGGTTCAGTGCTGCCTGAAGGGGCGACTTTTTTGGAGCTCTCTGTAGCTTCCTTTTCCTTCCAATTGGTCCCTCCCATGTCTCGCTGCCGCCTTCCTCCTGCTGTCGTTCCCCTTTTCCTTCATCCTCCTCTACCGCCTCCGCCCAGTCTTCCACGGTCGTCTCGGAGATGCTGCCCATGCCGTCGCTCTCCTCCCCCGCCAGCCCCCTCTCCTGCTCGCTCGATGTCGATTCCTCTCTTTCCGCGGGCCTCTCCCCTTCTCCCGCTCCGCCCGTCGCCGGTGGCCGTTGCTCGGCCACCTCCCCTCGCTCCTCCCTCTCCAATTCCCTATCCGGCCCCAGTCTGGTCCCGCCCCCTTCCTCATCCCCCCCCCCCCCCCCCCCCCCATACGCCCTAACCCTGTTGGCATACGATTCCGGACAGTTTCTGTACAGATGTTCTCTGCTACCGCAGAGATTATATTGTGCCGGGACACTGCACTCTTCCACCACGTGGTCCAGTGCCTTGCATCTATAGCAGACCCTCGCTTCGCACGATGTGGCCAGGTGTCCGTGTCCCCCACACCTCCTACACAGTTTGGGCTGTCCCGCATATACAACATATCCCCGGCTGCCTCCTATATTCAGGGCACTCGGGATGTGGCTCAGGGCCCCCCCCCCCCTGTCTTCAGCCGCACCCTCCATTGTCTAGCCCCTGTTGGCTCTATTTGTAACAAGCCCATCACTATTGACCGTACAAAGGTCGCCCGGTCGATGGTCACCTCCTCCGCCACCTCATCCTTCATCGCCACTCTGATGCTGTTATGTCATCTGATGTGAGGTGGTGTTAGGCTCGCCCCTGCCCCGCCTCGCCACCCCCCCCCCCCCGCTCGTTCCCGGGGCCTCCCAGCCCCCACCAGTCCAGCGTCCACTGCCACCTTCTCCCCCCGGGCCTCCCACAGCCCCAGGGTTGCTGGCGTCTCCCTGGCCTCGTCCTCCACCCTCCGCTCGGGGACGCCCGCCCCTTCTGCCCCCCGGCACCATACCTCTTCCTCCCTCGGCAACTCGGGTGGCACCTGTGGCCCTCGACTCTCGCCATGTCCCCTCCTCGTCCGCTGCGATTTCCATCTCGACGCTCCAGCAGTCCCAGCCTCTTGGCAGCATGGTCATCCCTGGCCCCACGGCCAGGGCCCTCGCAGGCCTCGGAGCTGGTGGCTAAGTCTCGTGGGTGATCACCATGGCGAAAGCAGCTTGAGGTCCGGACGGGCTGGAAGGATCACCTAAGTGCTCCTGGTGTCTCCCCTGGCAAGCCAGGATAGTTGCACCCCTCCTCATCGGGCAATTCGCCAGAATGGTGAGGCTCTGCTCTTGCTACCGGTCTTAAATAGAGCAGCAGCAGGGTGACGTCATCATTTCACTCATCAGGTGCAACGATTTGAGGCGGAGGGGGGGGTTATCGTAATTATATACTAGATTGGTAATCAGGCAATTGCTACGATGTGAGTTGTAGATTAGTAATCAGTTGCAATGTGTGTTATTGTAATTATATGCTACGTTAGTAATCAGTTAATTAGTATGTGTTTCCCCTATAAGGAATTGTAATATGTATTATTTAATAATACGCTTCCAGACCGCACTAAGCCTGTAGCTGTCTGAGCGATTAAAGTTATTTCTGTTTCTCCCAATTTCAATGGATTCTCTAATTAGTCTTTGCCAGTAGTAATTCGTTTTACACAACACTTCAACGATATCAAAATCAATTGAGTGTCCCTGTTGGCAAGCATGTTCTGCCACTGCCGACAGTTGTGTTTGAGATAATTTAATATTTCTTTGGTATTTTTTTAGCCTTACACTTGTAATATGAAGAGATGCACCTGGGGGGTAACTGGGCCATAGTGATAGGCTCTGCCGGCCTCAGCCTGCAGCCAATGGGACGTCGAGCCAGGGGCGTAGCCTGTTGCTCCATGGCAATATCTGGAAGGTTCCAGGGGGCGAGGCTGATGATTGGCTGCGTGGTATCACGTGGGCCAGGTGTTATAAGGGGTGGAGAGAGACAGCTCCGGGTCAGTGTGGAGAGAGGCTGAGGAGGAACCACGTCTGTGTCACCGGTACGCCAGCGACCACGTGGTGGGCCGGAGGTTGTCTCTGACACACACCGTCAACCAGCGGTGTGGGGAAGCGAGGCAGCGAGAGGACGCCACGCTCGGGGAATGGAGTAACGGGGAAAAGAGGAACCCAGCGTGTGAGGGAGCTGTGAATGAGGAACGAATAAAGAAAAGACAAAAGACATGGTCTCGTCTGGAGCGGATTTATTACATTGGTGTCAGAAGTGACTTTTGAGACTGCTTGGGCCAAGAACAACGATGTCCAGGCACCTCAAGAAGAAGAACCCACCGGATCCGCTGATGGATGACGACGATGACTCCCTTGACCAGAGCTTGCTGCATCACTGGGCGACGGCCCCGCTGGCGGCGACCGCTGCTGCGTCGGGCGCCGCGCTGCGCGGAGAGGCCGGCGCGGATGCGACTATGGCTGCGGACGAGGGTTGGCGGCGGGTGGCGGAGCAGATTGAATCTCTCCGCATGGTGCTGCTGAACCTCGTCACTTTAGTCGCGTCGTCTGCTGCCCCGGGACGGCCTTGAGATGTGGTGCCGAGTGCGGACGACCAGGGCCTCCCTCGGTGGGTCTCGGAGGAGACGGCCGCCATTACGCCCGCCGTGTGGAGCGAGCCCACCATCTTGGGTGCGGTCGCAGGCGCGCTGCCTGCGGCCGCCATTTTAATGGTGCCACGTGCCGCGCGGGTGGCGGGAGCGGGCACGCCCAGAGATGACGACGGTGGACGCAGCCATCGCCTCCCCAACATTAAGGAATTTTTTGCCGGTGGTGACTGGACCGCCTTTACTTGGCGTTGAACGCTTTGCCCACACTGCTGGACGACGTGTCATTGGCGGTGTTCCACTCCATCCCGGCCGACAAGAAGAAGACGCTGAAGGACGCGTTGTCTGAGATGGCGGAGGTTTACGAGCCGCCTTCGGACGCTCACAGGAAATTTATGCAGCGGCGTAGGGGGCCCCGAAGAAACGCCTCTGGCGTATCGCGGTGCACTGTTGGCGCTCGTGATGGCCGCCTACCCCGATTCCTCCGCCGACCTTCTCGATCCTCTCATCCTTACGAGGATGGTCGAACTGTCGCAAGAAATGGGGATCTCGCTGCCCGTGTACGGCCATGGGCTGCTGACGTCCCGCTGGGCGGCTCGGTGTTTGGACGCCAAGTTCAACTTGCGCCGTTGGGAGCAGATGGCTGCATGGACGGGGGACCCGGACAAGGACGGCGAACCGCTGGGATGGGCCCCGTCTCGTGTCGTTCACATTCCGGACGGGTCCAGCGACGACGACTTGGCGGCCGCCGCTCCTCCTTGGGTGCCGCAGCGCCAGTCGGAGTTGTGACGTGACGGTGCCGGGATGCCGCGGGCTGGTGCCGACGTGGCTGCCCGAAGGCCGGCCGCGTCGGCACCGGCCTGCGGCATCTTCATGCTTTAAGTGTGGCCGCTTGGGCCACTTCGCTCGAGATTGTCGGCGCTGTTCCGGTCCTCCGCTGCCTCCATCGACTCTCCCTCCATCCTCTCCCCCGGAGGCGGATCGCAATTCTGCTCGGGCAAGTCGGCATGCATCAGACACCTGGCATATCCCAACACCTCATGCATCCCTTCACACCGCGGGGGGCCTATCTGATGATAATTGTGGATACGTATATTCGGCGCGCACACTATTATCC